TTCTCTTTGTTATTTGGACCTGATGAAACAAAAACAAATAATGATATTTTTATAATATTTGTTTATTTATATGTCCACATGTGATTTATAAAACATTCAGTTTGAATCATTTTTCTGGAACACAATAAAGTCACTGTTGAATAACGATTTGCAAAAATAAAGTGTCTGAACAAACCAAAACACGTTGGACATAAATGTGAAGACGAGTTCAGGGGCTGGAAATAAATTCAAAGATGGTAAATTCTAGATGTAAGTTCTTGAAATCACTTTTTTCGTAGTCAGTTTTGTGTCAAAGAAATCAGTGAATCTAAAATCAAGTGAAGTGTTTCACTTGTTTTCAAGGATTGTAGCTTATTTTAACATTTATGGCCTAAATTTCAGATTTTTTGACAAGTCGAGTCATGGAGGAAAAATATGTGACAATTTTTAAGATTATACAACCAAATCAGAACAAGTGAGTCGATCATAAATCTGAAAATAAGATGAAGAACCTGATAGAAGGTTTAAAATCTTTGCCAGATCAGAGACATCTGCAGTGTAGGGCCTGGGACAGATCTCTAGATGACTCAAACCTGCATGAATGACTCAAACCTCTTCAGGCAGGTTTTAGATGAGGAAACATGGTGGAAATGTGGTGGAAAGCTCCAAAAATCTATCACATAAACTTGGTTTAAAAGGCTGGTGTGTGATGAGACGTCGTCCTGAATCTGGAGAATGTGTTTTGTTCTGGGACCAGGACAAACTCTGGAGCCGTGAATCCGTCTTCAGCTCAGATCCTCGTCCAACTCAGAAGATTCACTGTTTACACGAGTCTGTGCAGAGTCCAGTCTGTGGTTCTGACCCGAGTCTCTCTGGACTCGGCACCAAACAGCTGCACGACGACCAAGAGGATGAAGAGGAAGAGGAGGAAGAAGAGGATGAAGAGGAGGAGGAGGAAGAAGAGGATAAAGAGGAAGAAGAGGATGAAGAGGAAGAAGAGGATAAAGAGGAAGAGGAGGATAAAGAGGAAGAGGAGGAAGAAGAGGATGAAGAGGATGAAGAGGAGGATGAAGAGGATGAAGAGGAGGAGGATGAAGAGGATGAAGAAGAGGAAGAGGATGAAGAGGAGGAGGAGGATGAAGAGGATGAAGAGGAGGAGGAGGAGGATGAAGAGGATGAAGAGGAGGAGGAGGATGAAGAGGATGAAGAAGAGGAAGAGGATGAAGAGGAGGAGGAGGATGAAGAGGATGAAGAGGATGAAGAGGATGAAGAGGAGGAGGAGGAGGAGGAGGAGGAGGATGAAGAGGATGAAGAGGAGGTGGAGGAGGATGAAGAGGAGAGGATGAAGAGGATGAAGAGGATGAAGAGGAGGAGGAGGATGAAGAGGAGGAAGATGAAGAGGATGAAGAGGAGGATGAAGAGGAGGAGGAGGAGAAAGAGGAGAGATGAGAGGATGAAGAGGAGAAGAGGATGAAGAGGAGGAGGATGAAGAGGATGAAGAGGAGGAGGAGGATGAAGAGGAGGAGGAGGATGAAGAGGAAGAGGAGGATGAAGAGGATGAAGAGGAAGAAGAGGATGAAGAGGATGAAGAGGATGAAGGAGGATGAGGAGGAGGAGGATGAAGAGGATGAAGAGGAGGAAGAGGATGAAGAGGATGAAGAGGAGGAGGAGGATGAAGAGGATGAAGAGGAGGATGAAGAGGAGGAGACGTTCTCACACTGGTCGCCTCAGAGTAATAAACATATGTCGTCTTACTGTGTTTTTTAAAATTACCTCAGGATTTTGTTAAATAAATATGAAATAAAACAGTCGGTCATTATCAAAGCAGAAAATGTGTTTGAGGTTTAAAATGTTCAAAAGAAGCTGGAGGAGGAGACCCTGGAAGCCCACCTGATGACATCACTCTTGGTTTGTGGTGAAACGAGTGGAATTAAGGAAAATTCGGCTCTAACATGAGTCAGTGTCGTCACATTTTCTTTGTGTTTTGGTCGTTTTTAAGCAGCTTTTCTGTATTTTATCAAAACAAATGTCACTTTATGTTTCTCTTTAATGTTACAGGATCAGACTGGTCCAAAATAGGGACACATGGGACATTTCTTGTAAACAACAAATCAACAGTTTTTTTGTTTTTTTTTGTATAAATCTGCTGGGACAGGGGACACAGGCTCAAAACTGGGACTGTCCCGGGGAAACAGACGACTGCACTCACAAAATTTTGAGTGTTTTGGTGAGGAAACAGCCTAATTCATTCTAAAATGCACTAAAAGTAAATTAAAAATAACATAAATAATATAATAATAATAATAAATGATCAGGTCATGTGAGGAAAACAGTACAAAAAAATACATCTAAAAAAATCTAACTTAACTGTAACACAACTATGCAGACGTGGAGTTCGTAAATACTCATGAATAATTACCATACTGCCAATATAAACGTTGATAATAAACTCTTAAAACTATTTAATTTGACGCAATAATGTTTTTAAACGGATCTCGGCGCGTGTGTTTTGTCCTCCGCCGCTCCCCGTAGCAGCTTATAAAATGTCGCAAACCGGAAGTCCCGCCCCTCTTCGTCCCCTCTGCGTCAGACTGATGTGAGTGTCAAACATTTCTGCGTTTTAATCTTCATCCATCCATTAAACCCGCGCGTTTATAAACCATCCGCGGCCGCAAACGTGTCCTCGCGTTTGTCCACAACACATCTGTGATAACATTTGTGAAATCAGCCTTGTTTTGACGCGTTAATGTGAGTTTGTGTGTTTGTTTCCCCGCAGAGTCTGAGTCCCGGCGCCGCAGCGACATGGTGAGACACTTTTACTCTGAAAATCAATAAAAACACCGAGTTAAATCTGAGCCGCTCGACCCGAACCCGCGGAGGGAGTCAGGGCCGAGCGCGGGTGAAGTTTCAGCTCGGGGTTTGTTTTGTTGGATGTTTTAGTTTGTTAAAAGTGACTTAACGTCAGGTTAGCGCGGCACGAGCTAATGCTACATGCTAATGCTAAAGCTACATGCTAACGTCAAAGTGACAGGCTCTGGTTTGTTTTATTTTCACTTTTTTTTTAAATGAGGAAACAGCAGCTCTTTACGACAAAGTATAAGGTTCAGATAAAAAATAAAAAAGATGAATAAAGTCGAAGCCAGAAGAAGTTGTCATTTTAGGAGAATGAAGATTATACTGAGTGTGTGAAGAGTCTGAGGCTGGTGCATCGGCCTGGGCCATATGGATCAAAACATATATCTGGATATATTTTGCTATATCTCGATATACAATATATATATCTCTATATCTGTACAGGAAAAAATAACCCCCTAAAACTGAAAACTGCAAAAACAAATCTGCCAAATTCCACAAGGTCTTTTTTAAAAATTTTTTATTAAAGTGTAAGAGGTCAGCAGTTCATATAGAACATTTAAGATTACAAAAAAACCCTAATTACATAAATAATATTTTTAGCTGTAAAATAAAAGAAATAAAACATATTTCCTTCTTTTCATTTATAAATAAAACAACTCAACACAAGTTCATCTTTGCATTAACTCTGTTATCCGAACCAGAACCAGAACCAGAACCATGAGCTCCTTCAGCAGAAGAAGCTCAGGATGTTCCTTATTTTATCAGACACATGTTCTTATCCAGCGTCAGGAGCTCTGAGGTTTAATCCCACAATCCACTGCAGATCAAACCCAACGTTTCAAACACTTGTACAAGTGACACTGCAGCAGATTATTCATTAAAATCTTCTGTATAAATAAACTTTACATTGCTAAACTTTACAATATATAAACAACGACTCTAGGCCACATCAGCCCGTTTGAGATAATGTGTTTAATGCAGTTTTGCGCACGTGTGTTTACATTTTACAGAAACAAAACTTAAGAGCATGGCTCATTTGCATAAACAGCACTTCTGCAGCTCAGCTCGTTCAGCTTCTTTTGGACTAAAGGACACAACTCGGTGGAACATTAGGATGTTCTGCTGGTGGTTTTGTCTGTAAATGGTGGAAAAGTTTCGTGGAGCTTGAAGTTTTTCACTGGCACCAACTTTCGACGTTCACAGCAACAGTGACGAGTGAAGGAGACACGAGCGAATGAAATCAGGGAGGCGACGACAGAACAAACAAGCGAAGCGGCGAAATCAAAATTTAATATAAGCATTATATCGATAAATGCGATATGTCAGAATTCATATCGAGTTTAAAAACTATCTCGTTATATTTAAAATATCGATATATCGCCCACCCCTACTGGTGCACTATGGGCAATTTAGAGCATTTTGTAAAGGAGAAGAATCCGTGTATCATTCCTTCATACGACTGAATCAGGACTAAACCAGGTCCGGAACCAAACCAGAACTAAGACCAGGATTGAGACCAAGATTGAGACCAGGACCAGACCAGGACTAAAAATGATTCAATCCTGGTTTAGTCCTAGTTTAAATCTTGGAAATGGGGTTTCCATGATTTAAAATGCGATGCGGGACTCTACCGCATACGAACTGAACCAGGACTGAAACATTTTCAGTCCCGGTCTGGTCCCGGTCTGAGTCCCGAACCTGGTTTAGTCCTTATTCAGTCTGGAGGCGCAAATATTGAAGAAAATAGTTGCTTTTTCGTTTTCTTATTTTTATATTGAAAAACGAATGAAAGAATGATACACAGATTGAGTTTTTCTTCTGCCGCATTTTTCACTTTGACTTTGAGTTTATTACGACTTCATTCTCATAGTAATATAACTTGTCATAATATTACTTTATTTTGACTTCAACATTATTCTCGTAAAATTATGACTTTATTCTCATATAATTGCGACTTTAATATTGAAATATTACGACTTTATTTTCGTAGCGCCAGCATAATTACTTTTTTTTAATCTGACCCTTATACTCCGTCACAGCTCTTCAAGATGTAACTGTATAGATTTTGTCGTGAGCTGCTCCAGAGACTTTGAATCTGTGCGGAGTATTTTTAGTCAAAAGTTTTTATTTTATTTATTATTTTCATATATATAGCTGTGAATCTTTTTTTTTTTTTCTTTATACCTGTGCATCTTTTTTTGTTTTTGTTATAGCTGTATATATATTTTTGTTATAGCGCTGCATCTTTTTTTTTTTTTTTTTTATATAGTTGTGCATCTTTTTTTATATAGCTGTGCATTTTTCTTTTTTGGCAATAATAAAAAAATTGATAACCTCTAATGCCATTGACAGAGTGAAGTAGAAAATAATAAAAAATAAATCTAATAATAATTCTAAATAGGCACATAGAACACATTTCATATTGCAGGTTTATCTGAGTTCATATGTAATTAAATAAACATAGAATGAAGACATAAAGATAAGTTCATTCTCCAACCGGGAAAATAGTTCATCTAATGTCAAACTGACAGGATCTGGTTTGTTTTTTATGAGAAAAGGGCAGATATAACTGTATTTACTTTGTCTTTGAATCTGTGCAGAGGATTTTTAGTGTAAATATTCTGAAGCTTTGGATGTGATAAAGTTGATGTATTTGAATGAGTTCAGAGGGTTTTGTCCAAACGGGAGACACGCAAGACGTCCTACCCGCACAGACTCGTGGCTGTGGGGCTTCACGCTTGCCACATGAAGGATGGACCAAGTGCTGCGTCTCGGTGCCACAGAGACGACAGTTCCACCGGTCCACTGACAAATACACTGACAAATACTGACACGAACACACACTGACAAATACACTGACAAATACTGACACGAACACACACTGACAAATACTGACATGAACACACACTGACAAATACACTGACAAATACTGACACGAACACACTGACAAATACTGACACGAACACACACTGACAAATACACTGACAAATACTGACACACACACACTGAACACACACTGACACAACACACACTGACAAATACACTGACAAATACTGACACGAACACACACTGACAAATACACTGACAAATACTGACACGAACACACACTAATACACTGACAGTTACTCTGAGGAATACTGACAACCCTTAGTACACTGATCCAATACACTGACACGCACACTGCAAATACACTGACAATTATACTGAAATATAAATACACTGACAAATACTTAAGAGTACTGACAAACACACTGACATTTACACTTACAAACCTGAATACAGTAAAATACACTGACACAAATACCACTGATCCAACACACCCACAAACACACTGACACACACACTACAGATACACTGACAAACACACACACTACTGACACACACTCTACAGATACACTGACAAACACACACACTACTGACACACACACTACAGATACACTGACAAACACACACTACTGACACACACACTACAGATACACTGACAAATACAAATACAGACACTGACACACACTGATCCAGTCCTCGGGCAGATACAGTCTTGATCTGTGATATTTGGAGCTGAAATCTGCTGTTGATGTGAATAACTGTGTAACTGAAGTGACTAAACCTTTCCTTTTTTGTTTTAGCCTCGCAAGATTGAAGAAATCAAAGATTTCCTGCTGACAGCCAGGAGGAAGGACGCCAAGTGTGAGTGACTTTACATGTGACTGAGAGAATAATACTTATGTCAGTTATTAGTTTTACTGTTTAACGCTTCAGGTGCTTCTGTGTTTTCTTAAATGTGCTGAAATAGAATGACTGAAGTACAGGTTTGATGTTTCTGATCCCACAGGGTTTGATTCTAATTTTATTTTTGTCTTGTCCGTTTTTAGCCGTAAAGATCAAGAAGAACAAGGACAATGTGAAGTTTAAGGTGCGCTGCAGCAGATACCTGTACACACTGGTCATCACAGACAAAGAGAAGGCCGAGAAGCTCAAGCAATCACTGCCCCCAGGTACAGACTCGGGAACAGACTCGGGAACAGACTCGGGAACAGACTCGGGAACAGACTCGGGAACAGACTCGGGAACAGACTCGGGAACAGACTCGGAACAGAACTCGGAACAGACTCGGGACTCGGGAACAGACTCGGGAACAGACTCGGGAACAGACTCGGAACAGACTCGACAGACTCGGGAACAGACTCGGGAACAGACTCGGGAACAGACTCGGGAACAGACTCGGGAACAGACTCAGACTCGGTAACAGACTCGGTAACAGACTCGGTAACAGACTCGGGACTCGGAACAGACTCGGGAACAGACTCGGGAACAGACTCGGGAACAGACTCGGGAACACTCGGTAACATGACGGGGAGGGATGTGGGGCAGGAGACACAGCCTGTACTACAAAGGAGAATATTCTGTAGCTGCACAAACATTTGAACTGCGGCTGCAAAGATGTATTCACTGTACAGTTGGCAAATTGTAAACAAAATATCCTTTATAAACTACTAGATTTGTTCTTTCTAAGCTGCTACTCCTGTAGTTTAGACTCTACAAACATGTTCTGAAATGTAGGTGATTCTTGGATTAGTTTAAAGTTCAGATTTTATTCTTTGTGAATGTTCGTAGACGAGTTTAAAATGGTGTAAATCTGTGTTCTTCATTTTTGGGCCTGAGTTTGAACAGCAGATTATCAGAGCAGAACTGATACGAGTTAAAGCTGCAAATTTTACATTTGAAATTCTCATTTGAAGTTTTTACTGTTTGCCCAAGTTTTTTCTAAATCCATTCTGTTTTGTAGTTACACAGGACTTTGAAACTTAGTCAAATTTATGTCAAAATGCTTAAAGTCAGATGTTTTTTGTCTGTAAATGTCTTTGCCTCATAAAAACCCTCTGTATTCACGCCGCTGTCTTGTTCTTGTTGCAGGTTTGGCTGTGAAGGAGCTCAAGTAAAAGTGATGTACAGAAAATTGTAATAAAAAATGGAAAACCAACACCTGGATTTAGTTTTTTTAAGCTTCATCCACAAACAGCTGGATCATGTTTTAGCTTTATAAAGTCAGTGGTTCTCAAACTGTGGTACTGCACGTTTGGCTCATTTTGTTTTTATTTAGTTTAACATCGGCCTCACCCTGGTCCAGTTCAGTCCTGGTTTCCACAGAGTAACTGAGTAATGATCTGAAAGTGTTTGGATCTTTAACACATTTTTATCTTGTAGCCTTTGTTTAAATCCACTTTCGACCTGGTTTAGAACCGTTCTGTTACTGTTTGAAGAAGTCTGGAGAACCACTGATTTACAAAACAAGTGTCTGCTCTTAAAAAGTCAGAAACAGTTAAGAAATGAACATTAAAGTGTAAAATGTGAGGACAAAGTAACACAACCTAAAGTGATAATGAGCCTGTTAAAGTGGAGTCTGGTGTGTACAACTTGTTTGACCTTTATAGATTTGCTTTTAGTCCTGGTTCAGTCCTGGTTTAGTTCTGGTTCATTACTCACATCGTCCATGTCAAGTCTCTACTTTAGTGCATGTGAAAGTTTGATATGAACTAAACTAAAATCCTGCTCTCTGCGTCTGACCAGGATCCGGACTCAGATCTGGATCAGTATTGGATGGATGAAAAACTTTCCAAAGGGCAGGTCTGTTGTCAGTATTGGAAACCATTTCAGTCAAAGTGTTTTGACTGATTAAATTCGATTTTCACATGAGCCGAACACATTTGTGAGATTCAAACGCAGAAGTTTGTTATAAGTTGAGAGCAATCAGGCCAGGACTAACATCAAAAATAAATATATATGAGGCAGAGGAGCAGATCTATGGAACATTCTTGATGACAGGTTAAAAGGATCAACATTGTTTTAAAAATGACATATTTAGTTCATTAAACAAATATAGAGCACTAGAATTATTAATTTAAAGACACATTCTTACTGCATAAAACAGGCCTGGGCCTTGTCCAGCTCCAGAGTCACATTTGGCCCATTTAAGTTCATTTAGAATTACAACACAAACATATTTTCTATTTGTACCTCATGCCTGGACTAAAGCTGCTTTGTTTTTATTTTAGAGGTGTTTTTTAAATGACTTTCAGTCTCACTTTTTCATTACTTACAACATAAACTCTTCAGTCTGAGCAGCTCGACACAACAATGAGTTTTACTGCTTTTTATAAAGAAATACAATTAATATTCTGCACAACTGAGTTCAGTATTTTGGCTGCACAATATTTTCTGTTTCTCATGTGGCCCCATGAAAAAAAGAACTGCTAAACCCTGATTTAGAGACAATAAATTCATAATGTAGATTCTGTGGCTCATTTCACTTCAGTCTAAACTCCTTTGGTCTGAGTTTTATGTAAAATGTTTGTATCATTCTATTATGTACATGACTGAAGAAAAACTACTACTACAGAGTTCCCACAGTCATGGAAATCCTGGAAAAGTCATGGAAACTGACTGTTCAGTTCTCATGAGTCTGTTCTGATTATTTGTGTCTTTTGTTTAAAAGAGACGACAGTAAAAGCACTGACAGGATTTAGAATGTTCAAAAACTATAATCCCAAACCATAAGGTGAGTGGAAAGAGTTAAACATTTCAGATTTACACTAAAACTATGATCAGTTCTACACATGGAGGTGCTGGAAACTCATGGAAAATTCACTTTTTGAAACTGTCAGTGAAAAAGAGTGGGAAGCCTGATATTCTTACTACTATTACTACTTGTAATGACTTCCGCTGTCCTCCAGGTGTCGCCCTCCCTCAGTTTTTCACGCAGCCTCATTGTTTCCCGCAGAAATGACGTCCTGTGACACGCGGTGAGTTACCGCGCTCCGCTCAGACAAATGGATTATGAATTACGCACGAAAACAATTATGACGTAGTGACCAGTGTTTACGCGCGCTCCCGGAACTCCCACGAGACCGGCGCGCGCTCCCGCTGTCGTCTGTGCGCGTGAGGGGGCAGCTGTGCGCACGGACACGAGCCCGGACGTGCAGTGACCGTCTTCAATAAAACGCGGCTCGGGTCACGGTTTTTACGCGGAACTTTGCGCTTTTTACGCACGGGTCCGTCCCTGGAGCGGCTGGAGAGACGCACGGCGCGCACAGCGGGGGTCCAGCCGGAGATGAGCCCGTCGTGAGGAGCGGGGGGATCACGGAGGAGTTTGGAAGAGCATTCAGCGGGGGGATCTGGAGGAAGTTTGGCCGCTCAGGATGTCCGCGGACCGGGTGGATTACATCGCGCCGTGGTGGACTTACTGGCTCCATAATTTCCCCCACATCAACCTGAGACTGCAGCCGGCGGACAGCTCCTTCCAGCCGCAGAACGAGGAGTACCAGCAGGTGAGGAGCAGCGGGGAGACCGGGGCACGGAGGGGGAATGACCGGGGAGTGAGGCGAGGGGAGCCCGGGGGAAGCGTCCAGGGTAAATCGGGTCAAAACTGTCCCTCAAACGAGACTTGGAGGTTCAAAAACTGGTTAGAATCCAGGACTAACTGCAAACCGAACTGAAGGAGTAAACAAAAACTCCCCAGAGCCCAAAACAAAACCTGGATTAAAGCTGGAACTCTGTGAGACGTGATTAAAATCTGAACTGAGCCTAAACTAAACTAAATCTCAAAGGGAACAGAACCAGAATGTTTTGTCAAAGCGTTTAACAAAGACCAAACGAGGACTAAACCAGGTCTAAGAGGGCTATTGTTGGACTAAATTGACTGATTGATTTTTAGATTGATTCATTTAATATTCTGACATTATTCCACAAACAAATTTAACATAAACAGACTGAAAAAGTGCAGGTTGGAGCTTGAGTTTATTCTACTTTTTTACCTTTTACTCTTTTGCCAGAGCTTCATCTTTAAACCAGTTTCATTCATAAAAACAGCGAGAGGAAAAAAACAAATCAGTAACAGAAGAGTAAAATTCTACAGCACGAACTAAACCTCATGATTTATGTATCTGCCCAGAGTTAAACATTTAAACTTCTTTTTAAAATGGAACAGAACGTTGCACAGTTTTAGGTTTTCTGTACAGTTGGTCCAGATGTTTAAAAGATACACAAAATTTCAAGACTTTTTCCAAGACTAAACCAGGTCTAAGTGGGCAACTATCGAGCTAAATAAAGTCTACTCTTCACTATAAACAAGATGAGAACTAAACCAAGACTAAACCAGGAGCTAAAACAACTATTTACAATTTAAAACGGACAAAATCAAGTTGTAAATCATCTCTTGAGGAGCAGCAGTTCTTGGACTGAAGGAGCGAGTTTGGACCAGATCAGGACTAAACCAGGTCTTAACTGGGATCTTAAATCTGCACTTAGTTCAGACCAACATGGACCAACACAAAAAGGATGATCCATGTTTGTGCCCAGAGTTAAAAACGTCTTTATAAAGTGAAAGAGAGCAGTGGACAGTTTTAGATTTTCTGTACAGTTGGTCCAGAGTTTCACAGAAATAAAACATTTCATCATGTTTTTTGTAAAATCTGAGTCATTCAGGTCGAATCCACAGCAACAGAGAAATTCAATTTGTCAACCGGACAAACGTTTATTTAGGTGGGAAATATTTCTGAGTTGATCCGAGCTGCTGCTTCAGTTCTGGTCAGACTCTGCTGAAGGAGGAGCTAACTACACTGACACTCCTCTGGAACTAACACACACACGTTTACAGTTTGTGTTTGTAGCTCGACCTGTTCGTCTGTACTGAGTGGTGGTTTAGTCCTGGTTTAGTCCAGGTTCAGTCCTGGTTTAGTCCTGGTTTAGTCCTGGTTTAGTCCTGGTTCAGTCCTGGTTTAGTCCTGGTTTAGTCCTGGTTTAGTCCTGGTTTAGTCCTGGTTTAGTCCTGGTTCAGTCCTGGTTTAGTCTTGGTTTAGTCCTGGTTTAGTCCTGGTTCAGGCCTGGTGTAGTCCTGGTTTAGTCCTGGTTCAGTCCTGGTTTAGTCCTGGTTTAGACCTGGTTTAGTCCTGGTTTAGTCCTGGTTTAGACCTGGTTTAGTCCTGGCTTAGTCTGGGTTTAGTCCTGGTTTAGTCCTGGTTTGGTCCTGGTTTGTTCCTTGTTTAGTCCTGGTTTAGTCCTGGTTTAGTCCTGGTTTGTTCCTTGTTTAGTCCTGGTTTAGTCCTAGTTTAGTCCTGGTTCAGGCCTGGTTTAGTCCTGGTTCAGTCCTGGTTTAGTCCTGGTTCAGTCCTGGTTTAGTTCTGGTTCAGTCCTGGTTTAGTCCTGGTTTAGTCCTGGTTTAGTCCTGGATTAGTCCTGGTTTAGTTCTGGTTTAGTTCTTATTGTAAATCAAGTGTTTGTAGTTTTAATCTGACTAAATACAAACAGTCCGAGTGAAAAGTCCAGTTTTGTCCTGAATTTGTCGGTCGTTTTTTTCCCTCAGAATTCCCAGTCCGTGTTCCCGGTCCGTGTTCCCGGTCCGTGTTCCCGGTCCGTGTCCCCGTCCGTGTCCCCGGTCCGTGTTCCCGGTCCGTGTTCCCGGTCCGTGTTCCCGGTCCGTGTTCCCGGTTCATTCTAGTTGAATAAAATATTAAATGGTCAGAGTGGAGTGAGCGAGTGGAGCTGACGTGTTACAAACAGGACTTTAGAGGCTCCAGCGAGTCGCCCACACGAGCAGAAACACATGAGAAACATCAACGTTTCACTGGGAAAACACGAAACTCTCCAGAGAATTTTACACACAGATAATCAAACTGTTTGTGTTTGTCCAGTGAGGCTCATTTGGTTTCTCATAATTGATGTGATTCTGTTCTTTGTATCACTTTATAATAACTGCTCCTTATTAAACATTTATGAAGCATTATTTAACACATTTGTTCATCATGAGTAAAGTGTTACTCTTCTTTATTTGTCATCAGTTCATCATTTCTAGATGTTTCTGTTCATGTTTGTTCATCTTACACACGTTTGTTAAACATTATTCAACACATTGGTTCATCATTTGTAAACACCTCTTCATTTTTACACATGATTTAATCGTTACTAAATACATTATTTAACGTCTTTAGTCATCATTAATAAATCATTACTAATTCATTATTACTCATCAACTATTCATATTTAAAAGTGTTTTTAAAAAATATTTCTGAGTTGATCCGAGCTGCTGCTTCAGTTCTGGTCAGACTCTGCTGAAGGAGGAGCTAACTACACTGACACTCCTCTGGAACGAACACACACACGTTTACAGTTTGTGTTTGTAGCTCGACCTGTTCGTCTGTACTGAGTGGTGGTTTAGTCCTGGTTTAGTCCTGGTTTGTTCCTTGTTTAGTCCTGGTTTAGTCCTGGATTAGTCTTGGTTCAGTCCTGGTTTAGTCCTGGTTCAGTTCTTGTTTAGTCCTGGTTTAGTCCTGGTTTAGTCCTGGTTTAGTCCTGGTTCAGTCCTGGTTTAGTCTGGTTCAGTCCTGGTTTAGTCCTGGTTCAGTCCTGGTTCAGTCCTGGTTTAGTCCTGGTTTAGTCCTGGTTTAGTCCTGGTTTAGTCCTGGTTTGGTCCTGGTTTAGTCCTGGTTTAGTCCTGGTTTAGTCCTGTCCTGGTTTAGTCCTGGTTTAGTCCTGGTTCAGTCCTGGTTTAGTCCTGGTTTAGTCCTGGTTTAGTCCTGGTTTAGTCCTGGTTTAGTCCTGGTTTAGTCCTGGTTTAGTCCTGGTTTAGTCCTGGTTTAGTCCTTGGTTTAGTCCTGGTTTAGTCCTGGTTTAGTCCTTGGTTTAGTCCTGGTTTAGTCCTGGTTTAGTCCTGGTTTAGTCCTGGTTTAGTCCTGGTTTAGTCCTGGTTCAGTCCTGGTTTGGTCCTGGTTCAGTTCTTGTTTAGTCCTGGTTTAGTCCTGGTTTAGTCCTGGTTTAGTCTGGTTTAGTCCTGGTTTAGTCCTGGTTTGGTCCTTGTTTGACACAAACGGATCAAATTCTTAACCCACAAACTCAAACAAACATCAGAATCATTTGTTGTTGGTTTCATTTCAGCTCTGATCAGTTTAAACACTTGGAGACAATTCTCCAGAAAATCCTGAAGTAAACATTTATAAAGCATTTATAAGTGATGAGTTCATGATGAATGAGCCTTAAATCATTAGATGAAGTTTAGTAAATCCCAGACGTGTTTGTGAACATATCAGGTCTGTGGAGGTGGCGTCGTGTGGTGAGTTTAAACACTGGAGTTGAACCTGATTTAACGACGTCTCCAAGTGTTTCAAATAAAACCATCAACAAATGATTGAATAATGAACCGGAACCAGGACTAAACCAGGTCTAAACCAGGACTAAACCAGGTCTAAACCAGGACTAAACCAGGACTAAACCAGGACTAAACCAGGACTAAACCAGGTCTAAACCAGGACTAAACCAGGACTAAACCAGGACCAGGACTCTAAACCAGGACTAAACCCAGGACTAAACCAGGACTAAACCAGGTAAACTTTTAAACACTAAACCAGGACTAAACTCTCTGATTCAAGTGTCTTAAGTGAATCCTCTCTCCTCTCCTCTCTGTCCTCTGTCCTCTCTCCTCTCTGTCCTCTCTCCTCTGTCCTCTCTCCTCTGTCCTCTCTCTCTGTCCTCTGTCCTCTGTCCTCTGTCTCTCTCTCTGTCCTCTCTCTGTCCTCTGTCCTCTCTCCTCTCTCTCTCTCTCTCTCCTCTGTCCTCTGTCCTCTCTCCTCTGTCCTCTCTCCTCTGTCCTCTCTCCTCTCTCCTCTGTCTCCTCTCTGTCCTCTGTCCTCTCTGTCCTCTGTCCTCTGTCCTCTCTCCTCTCTCTGTCCTCTCTCTCTCCTCTGTCCTCTGTCCTCTCTCCTCTGTCCTCTGTCCTCTCTCCTCTCTCTCCTCTCTCCTCTCTCCTCTGTCCTCTGTCCTCTCTGTCCTCTCTCTCTCTCTGTCTCTCTCTCCTCTGTCCTCTGTCCTCTCCTCTGTCCTCTCTCCTCTGTCCTCTCTCCTCTCTCCTCTGTCCTCTCTCTCTCCTCTCTCTCTCTCCTCTGTCCTCTGTCCTCTGTCCTCCTCTGTCCTCTCTCCTCTCTCTCTCCTCTCCTCCTCTCTCCTCTCTCCTCTGTCCTCTCTCTCTCTCTCTGTCCTCTGTCCTCTCTGTCCTCTCTCCTCTGTCCTCTGTCCTCTGTCCTCCTCTGTCCTCTCCTCTCTCCCTCTCTCCTCTGTCCTCTCTCCTCTCCTCTGTCCTCTCTCTCTCTCTCCTCTGTCCTCTGTCCTCTCTCCTCTCTCCTCTGTCCTCTGTCCTCTCTCCTCTGTCCTCTGTCCTCTGTCCTCTGTCCTCTCTCCTCTGTCCTCTCCTCTGTCCTCTGTCTCCTAAGCGTTGCCTTCAGCGTTGGACAGGGGTCATAGGTCAAGAGGAAGTGAATCATTGGCGCGAGAACAAAAGAAC